CACTGTGTCTGTATCTGCAGATGAACAATTCGTGTACAGTCATGTCCCACAAACAGCCATGAAGCAAATGAGCAATTTTATTTCGGGGATTGTTTCCCGGGACATCGGGAAAAATCTTGACATCTGAACAGGCAGATTTGACCTTGGTTTAACATCTCATCCGAAGGGCAGCACCTCCAGCGATGCAGCATTGCATTGGAATGACAGCCTTGACTACGTGAGTTCCGAGTCGTGACACGGGGCTCGAACCCATAACCTGAGTCAGAGGCGAGAGTGCTACCAACTGTTTGGGGAATCATCCAATCACAAGATGTCAAGTTGCTGTTCAACACATTTACTTGCAAATACCAGTCAACCTCTTCTTGCATTTTCAGGTGAAATAGATTGTTTGCTCCTGGCAATCTGACCATCAACAAAAATTCTCACTGAGCTTTCATCTATCTTGCAAGCTGGACCCTGATGTCAGACAGAACAATTCCATTGCAAACTGCCCAGCAATCTCGAGGCCCGACATTTACTTTGGTTATTCAAGCAGCCATCTCTCTCAGTTACCTGAACTAATACAAAGCTACTTACCCCAAAGTGGTTTGATATAACAGAACTACAGATGGGGTGGTGGGGGGAAGACATGTTATATTTCCACTGCTGTTAGATACAATTCACAATGGTATTTTTCAGCTCATGTCTGCAGGCTAGTACATGCTGAGAAAGTCTTCAACTTGAGCATTTCATCACACTTCTACTGATTTCTTTTGACCTCGTGTTGAAATGTTTTAGTGCCATTACAGAGCTGACTCTCTGGCTTTTGGCAACCTTCTACGACAACCTGCCACTGTGTGGATTCGTTACATGTGAAAATGTTAACCCTTACAGGGCCAGCACTCCGTTCTGAGCACTAAAAGCTTCCTCTGTACATCGACTAATGCAATGCAATTAACCTCTCACAATTAACCTTTCACGTCTGGAAGACATCTCAAAGCGACTTACACTGAGAAATGCTCTAATATTGCAGGATTAAAGCTACTCGGAAATCAGGAGTTATGTTACTGATATTTTAACCCTAATCCTTTAAAATAAAATATTAAAACAAGTGTTAAAACATAAAATCAAGTTAAAATATTTTACCAATATTTGCCCCATGATCACTTTTTTTGGTCTATTTCCTCGTCTTCCCTTTTCCCCTTGCGAGCTTTTTTTTATAATAAATATTTTTATCTAATCCTTTTGTTAAACTCTCATACCTTTCAATTGCAATATCCAACTCGCAGCATTTTGAAATGTGACACTCATTTTAAAATGTGATGTTTCATTGGCTGAAAACTGGTCCAAATAGGCAGGTTTTGCAATTAAAACCTTTCAATATCTTTCCACTAGCTATTCTTTAATCGGCATCAGTCCATATTTTCCTTCCCTTGTTTTCTGCTCTTACTTTAGTCCGAGGTTTGTCCTTACACCCACCATTGGTGGGTCCTGCCTTCAGATATTAAGCCCTGCTGCTCACTACTAAAATTCTTCCTTGTTCCTTTGAATCCTCTCTTAAAAAACTCTTTTATTGACAATAATAATAATAATCCCTGCATTTGATATAGCACTTTTCACATCTTCTAGACGTCTCAAAGTGCTTCAAAGAATACGCTGTAAAGTGAATTGACTGCATATTTGTGGGAGAAACGTGGCAGCCAATTGCACACAGCAGTGTCCCACAAACAGTCTTGAATTGAGTGACCAAATCACTATTGTTTTTTTTGAGGGATTATTATCCCTGAAAAGCAATCCGCCAATCGACTAACAACCAGGTTCTTACTTACTGCTAGGTAAACAGAGGCGAGTGGAGTAAGGAAACTTGCCTAATATTTCGCCCTGTCGGGAATAGAATCCAATTCTCTTGCTTGTGAGGCGAGTGCTCTAATTGCTGAGCTACAGGACTGCCTTCAGTCAACACTGTTAAATTGGCTTTCCTTTCACCTCAGGTTTTTCCACTGCCTAGCCAAAGTGCTTTGACATGTTCACCCTACTTGAAAGGATCCATATAACTGAAAATAGTTGCTGACAAAAGGGTATAGACAAATCACACCATATTGATACAGCTTGGTCAGTTCCAAATGTCATCTGATTGCAGACACACTTTGTAAGTGATGTGAATCTGAATCGGCTGCAATGGCTGAACCAGATTATTACAGTACGATGTAGAACATAGCATTCTACCTTCTTGCTGCAACGTACTGTAGAGACAATAAAGAACTATGCGTCTCAGTTATGAACTATTTTCACTTGGATGAAGATTTTTTTATCGCGCAAAATCTTAAAACTTGAAATAAATTCAAGTAAATATAAACGTAGTTTGAGAATGTCAGGGGTTAGAGGAAAAGTAAAAGGTGCTGATACATTATCGCAATGCAATGTTTAGAAATGGTCAGTAGAATTGATCCCATATTACTTTGACAAGCAGGCGGTAGAATAATTTGTTTCACTTTGAACTTCCAAGCAGTTTCAAATCAGTGTTACACATTATTGACTTAACACCATCCCATGTGCAGATTGCAAAATAACTAACCAGTTAGGAGCATTCCTGTTTATTTTAAAATAATAAATAACCCTTGCATTTCATATAGCACTTTATCATGTCTTCGCGGCATCTCAAAGTGCTTGACAGAATACATTGTAAAGTGAATTGACTGTATTTTGCGGGCGAAATCTTCCATGTCTGGCACAGTTGCACACTTTGTGGACACAAATCACATGGATCACAAAGAATAATGCAGTGTCACACCACTTTACATTATGTCCTGTGAAGGGCTTCGGGACATTCTCCAGACGTGAAAGGCGCTACACCAAATGTACGGGTTATTATAATAACATCTGTAACTGTAATGAGGGTTATTATTATAACATCTACAACTGCAGGTGGATTCTAGTAAAATAGCAAATTAAAATCCAGCACCTGGGGCTCAATGGTTGAATTCACTTTTGGGTATGGTACAATAAAATACACGTTTTACAGCATCTCTCACTTCAAAAAGGTCATCTCAAAGTGCTAGTGGTACTAAGTGGTAGAGGCAAAGTGGAGGTAGACAGATGTGAAAATTCCCCGGTCCAATCCATGATCAGTTGGTTGATCTTAACTGGATGACAGTGGGGCACAACAACTGAAACTGGGATAGGGGAAGAGAAAGAGTTAACCAGGGTTCTAATTGCTGAATGTCATCCAGCAACTCAGACAGAAGTGCAATGGCTGAGGTAAGGATCAGACTCGGCTGGGATTTCTTCCACGGTACAATAACCTGCTGATACTCACTCTCTCCATGCACGAACGTACAATAGCCACTTGTGCGAAGCACTGGAGTGCTATTCATACCCACAGAACTGTATTCCAGCAGTGTCCACCAACTCCAAGAGATGTGAAGGAGTATTTTGCTTTATGATTTCAATAAAAAATGAGGCTCCATTTATTTAAACATAATTTTGGAATACTTAGGGTACCTTTCTTATGACTATACAAACACGTTTTTAAAAACGTGGGAGGGTGTAATCAAACACAAGTCGTTCATTATATATCAAATCCCTGTCTTACCAATATGAAGGATGGTACAGTTGAGAACAGGTCGACTGGAACCCGTGGTACTGTCTTGCCTTCGAACAATGCCGGCTCCTCAGAGCCAGTTCCATCCTAAGGAGACTTTGCTTACCTCTTCCAAGGAAGATTTTTCTTTAAAAGCAACTTTGAGAGGATCAAGGACTGAGTGGGTCCAACAGAATTTGAACACCCAGCAGCTCTGGTCCCAAGCGTTATGTGCAACACACTGAATGTTTTATTTCCTGATCACAATTATCAGTCTCCAATCTTTCATTGTGACTCCATTCAGTTGATTTGATAACTACATTTATAAATTCAAATGATTAAAGGACAGAGATTTAGTCCCCACTTCAGTGATTTAACATTGCAAACCGTTAATGGATATAAATTTGACATTAAAAGAAATAAATATTGAATGTTTTGATGTGAAAGAAAGCTTTGTGTGCCTCTTTTCCTTTGTCTTTTTTNCACCTTGGACGTTTTGCCTGTTTTTATTATCATTATTGATCGTTGCAAAATTTCAAGATGAACGATTCGAAAGAAACCTTTACTCTTCTGCTCTATTCATTCTCCTCCTCAGGCACCATGTGGGATGCCTTTTGTCTATCCATGTATTTCTGAAAATTGCGTTGGATTGCATTATCTGGATTTTTCAAAGTAAACCTGTTTGATAATGTCAGCGCCCAGCCTGACGGATAATTAAGCTACAGGTCTGTCATGATGTTGGATTTTTTTTTGAATATTTTGCTGGCCCCTTGCTTATCAAACCATCCCAATTTTGTACATCAAATCCTTTGCTGGTAAGTGGTCCTGCAGACATCTCGGTGGGGTTTGACGTCAATGCGGGTCTGCATCAGCGCTGAAAGCACGCCGGTCTACAATGCAGCAGGACAGCTCGACAAGAGTTTTTCTACATGATAGGACACGCCACCATGCGGTGAGGAGGCTGATCACCGACATTGGGCAGGTGGTGTGTGTGCCATCTACTGCGGGGGCTCATATTGTGCAACGCTGCTGGTGTGAAGGGAATCCATTGCTGATCCGCCATTAAGCCACGCCGCAGCTCCAGATTTTCAAAAGATTATTAGTATGCGACGCCAAGACTTGAATTTAAATCTCAAACAAAGAGACCAATTAGCTGGGTCCTCAGAATGTTTTTTTTAAATGAACCCATATTAGGCTGGAGATTAAAATCTTTTTGGCAAGAATAAAAAAAAGGTTTGATTTTGTTAACAGATTGGAGGAAATGTGGGCCCGGATGTGGTGTAATCACCCACTCCGATCCACCGACTGGCTGCGTTTGCCGTAACATTGCATTTATGCTTATTTCAGTGCCAGCTAGTCGATCTTAAGAAAAGCGGAATATGTTAGGCTCCGTCGTAGTGACATGAAATGTACTGAAACATTATCGGAAAATTTCACTCACCCTCTTCCTTGACTCTTCAATACCTGACAGCAGTGCATTATCACGCTCATTCTTCAGAAAACCCTAGAGGGCAAAGAAAGTCACATCAGTGCTTGAAATACTGTCAAACCAGCCTTCACCACAGCACAGACTAACCGCACATCACTGCTCAATCTGCATAATTAGCAAATCCAGAGGATAGAGCTTAAAAAAATCTATAGCGTATCATCAACCTGGTGAAAGCAGTTAACTACAGATGCCTGGAGCAATTTGTGTCACACACATAGTCTGGAGTAACTGTGAGAAATGTAAAATTATATCCTCCTAAACACCATTATTAGCTTCTAGCACAGGCATTCTCAGCAGGAATGTAGCATTGCCTTCGCCTACACAATTAACCAGTGCCGCTTAACACATTGGGTTGCACTGTACATTGGGAAGGCAGTTCATTTAGATAATGTATTCCTACCTATTGCTTCAGATTTGGGACAAAACCCAACAGCTGCCGCTCCGACATAAGCAGAAACTATGATGGAAAAATATTATTAGGTGAAATGGCAGTGTCCCACTGGCCTCGCTCTGCAGGGGTCTACGTTTCTCCTTTGCCTGAATATAAAAACCACTGAAATGAGTGTGGGAATTGTTAATTAGCTTCTCTTAACATCTCCCTTTCTTCGTCTCCTTGCCATGGCCGGTTGGGTTGTAGAGCTGTCTTTATGTGCCCCCCCACACCCACTAGAATGCACACAACGCATGCTCCGCGGTGCAGCAATCCTTCAAGTGACCCCACCCCGTCTCTTAGAAGCCCATTGGACAATGACTCGTCTCTCAGCATACCAATTGCAAGGGTGATGCTGCAAAAAGTTGAAAGTTTTGGACTCTAAAATGGCGCGTCAGCCAGGCCGCCATTTCCAGCACTTGGAACAGGTTTTGTTTTAATGCAAAAAAAATCTTAAAGCAGTTTCGGCGTCCTCCGCCGCATCCGTTTTCAGTCCAGACCGTCAATTTCTAAATGGTCCTGTAATCGACAACTGTAAAAATCAGAATTGGCGTGTTGCTTTGTTACTGCAATTTTTCCCCCATGCGCATTGCTCCCACTGCTTTCTCCAAACTGCACACCTTGTTTTTTTTTTAAAAAAAGCAACGATGCGAATAATCTAGACGCGCAACAGAGAAATGGTCTCAAACTGCAACCAGGCTATATGTGACGCAGTTATTCGACACACCCTTGTCTTCAGCGGCAAGTCCTTTGAACAATGGGTGATTAGAATATCTTTGAATATATACTTCCTTCCAGGCTCCTTCCCTCCCTCCCTCCCCCAGACCCCTTTCCCTAGGAAGGGCGCACCCTATTTTCAAACTTAAAATTGACAAACACAGCGACTGAATAAAAATGAGCACTTATCAGCACTGGAGATAAATGTTTTGCAACCAGTTTACTCTCATGCAAGACTCCATGCAATTTTTTTATATACAAGCATTTGAATGAAACCAATAATATTAACTATTAACATGAACTTATATTGTAACCCAATGAGCAAAACATATTATCAAAGGCAATTTGCATCTCTTAAAACATCAATATACATCAACCCTTTATAATGCTGTAATTTGCCTCTCTTTTGGTTAATGAAATGCGGCTTGCCCTCCACATTATGTTTTCAGTAGAGGAATTTCCTCACCAGACCTAAAAGGACCGTGGCGGAATTATATCATTGTGTTAAATACTCCTCAGCGACAATTTTACTGAGGTGTTGGACCAAAAGGTAGCAGTTTTGTACAAAGAACAGGGAGCAGAAGGCAAAGAGAAAGGGACAAAGATGGGAGTAACAGTCAGTACTTTGAGTCATCAATACAGTTTACCGACGTGCAGCTATCAGGGACAAAAGGAGAAATAAAGATTGTAGTCAGACGATAAGATTAACATTACTCGCCCAGCATCTGTACAGTTGCTATTACCAGGGTCATTAGAAAACCTGACAAAGAAATCGCATTAAAAAAGGCTACTCATTACTATATGGAACCAAGCAAACTCCTCCCATATGCTGAGGAATTCTTTTTCAACAAAAAGAATAAACATATCTGGAGTTATAAAGACATGAGAGCTCACGATACTTACTCCTCAGCGCTCTCCTTAACACAGAACAATTGAAAATGGCAAATGATCAGCAGAACGACGCAATACGTAGCTTTCGGCTAGAAGACGCATTCAACCCCACCCTGCACTCTGCTTTCCTCACAGCAACGGTAAGAAGAAATAAGTTGAATATCAATTTTCCTACCTGGAGAATACACTTTTTTGGGGGAAAAAAAGAAACTAATACTGATTCAGTGGACGGGCTTGGAGGGACTCCACTCTGGTCAGACGATTGCCGGTGCTCTTACTAAATACAGCTAATGCACCTCACGGCCTTTCTGATCTGCACTCGGCTCCAGACCGGCTTCAGATTCTGCCCGATGTATATTGCGGTGCTGCCGCTATCAGTCATACAGCGGTGGTTGGGGGGGGGGGGGGGGGGGGGAAAGAGCACCGGCATTCCTGGAACTGTTGATACAGTCAACAGTCCGGGAACATAATTAACAAGCTGCTTGGTGCCTGGGGAGCTGACAGTCAGCTCAGGCGAGTTCACAAATGCATGCACTGCAGTTCAGCTGTTGTACAGCACGGCAAACCGAATTCCGAAAGCACCCTAGCAATCTGAAGCCGGCTGCTGTGTGTGTGCTACGCTTTTAGCGTTACACAGGGATTTTGTATTGTTGAAGGACTGTACCACGTAAACTTGAAGGGGTGGGAGGGAGAAGGGTGGGGGAAGGAAAGATGATTCAACCTTTTTTTCTATCCCACCTCCCTCCCCCGCCCTATGCAATTTATGTTAATGGAAATTTTTGATGACTTCCGACATCCTGCCTTGAAATCAGTCTAATAATCCTTTTAGCTGTCATGTTTTGTTAATGAGGTAAATGGTGCTGCAGAATGATGCAACACTGGGAGCTGCACAATGTAAGCGCAGATGTGAAGCTATTTTCTTAAAGACTTTATTAGCATATGTCACAGTGCATGGAACGGAGAGAGATATGGTGTCGCCTCCCTTCCCTTATGCAGCTACAACCGGGCACTAATGTCACAAACCATCAGATTATTTTTGTAAACTGCTAGCCAGGGACAGATCAGAAATATAGAATCAGCGAGTCATTGTCCTTTTAAACACAATAAAGAACACATGGATGTACTGCTAGGTATCAGCATTAGCCCCTTCTCACATTCCAATCTGTATTTTCCAAACGTAGCATCTAAAAAGAAAAATCTTGTACCATTGTCTATACAATCCACCCATTCGGGCATGCTACAGAAGACTATGTACATTAAAATTATCCTTTGCCACACACAATGTGTTTCATAACTGTGTGTTACGGGCACCAGAGATTTTAAAGACAACTGCAATGGATGTCTCTTGAAGAGTGATTCAGGAGTTGTTGGGCAGTAATGGAACAAAAGCGATTCTCTAGCTGTTTTGGATCTCGATCTATTTCTTGTATTTTATCCAAATTTATAGATATAACCACATATATAATCAAGTACAAAATATTTGTGCCATTTGCCCTTGTGGCAATCCAGTTACAAAATAGCACTGTTTCCGAGCAAGAGGTCATGATAGTCCCAAACTGATTTGAGTTTGAAGAGGTAGCTTTTCAATTCTTTGTGGTTTTACGCTTTCTGGTATTGAACTGGTGCATTTACGATCTTGTAGCGCTGGTCAGATAAATAATGCGTTCCAGGTCAGAGTGTTGGTTACATCTGAGATGTAGAGCTGTTACAGCAAATCTACTGTGAAAGCCAGCTTTGGAGAGATCCAAATCAGGCCAGTTAGTATACTTAATGCAATCAGGCGATGGAACACTTAAACTGCAGAAAGCCAAAGAAACTTCTCGGAAGCACTCATTCAATTCGGATCCGAGGGCGATATTTTCTATGATATTATGCACACTGACAAGTATGGCAGTGCTCATGTTCATTTCTTGCAAAGCTAAGCAAAATTGCTGCTTGTGGGATGTTGCGGTACACAGGTTGGCTGCCGCGTTCACCTCCAAAATACATAGTTACAACAGAATATTCTGTGAAGCTCTTTAAGAAATCACCATGACGTGGTAAGGCACTACATCAAATGCAAGGATTATTATTATAAGTATAATTCACATTATATTTCGATTAATCGTTTCAATATTCTATGAACAATGTACTTCTTGTTAGATTGAAAATATACACAAATCCATTGAACTTTTGTTGTGTAATGCTGTTGGTTAGCTGGTGAGAGCACAGGAGCATAAACCTGTACTATACTAATTGAAGATTGCCACTCCTGGACCACTGTGATTTGAGGGATAAGCTGTGTACACATAATTAGTCTCAATTCCCCTGTCATTTTAAAACGTCAGTAAAATTATTCTTGAATTTGTGCCGTTATAAATCACAATGTAAAATATCGCAACAGCTTCTCAAGATACATATCCTACAGCCGGGCCAAAACATTCTACTTGGTCTATTTTTCAGATGAATTTGGGTTTAGTAGGTCTTGTGAAATATAATGAAATTTCAGAGAATGTAAGACCGTAAATAGAGTTGGATTTTCTTTGTATTGTATATATAATTGTTTCCAGTCACTCACAAAGGCAGGATTCCACTATCAGAAACTTCAGATCTCCTGATTACTGAAGCTTTGCCTTAGCAATTTTCTCCCTTCAACTCCTCTACTGACTGTGTTTGACTCAATTCTTCCTTCTACTAGGTACAGCTCAACAGGTACTGGTCACCCTCCAGCATCGCACCTGAATGTTCATTATTCACATACGTGTCTCGACCGTGCAAGTTAAGAGTAGGCCATCACAGCTTGCCTTTACTCAACATCTCCATAAATACCTTTTCAAGCAGAGAGGTCATGTTAGCAATCAGGAGGGGAAACTCTCTCTGATTCCTTTCCTCCATAACTCAGAGGGAACTGGGCATTATGAGAGGCGAAGATATTACATTGCCATTTTCTCCTAAGATTTGAGTTATTTGAGTATGAAAGCAACAGACAGGATAAAAA